CTACATCCTTTAATTACCTTGAATTATTGCTGCCAATGCAAAATTTTGCTGCAGCTTGTCTTTTTAAATGGACAATGCTTGCTGTATCTTTGAGGAATTCAAATCTCATAAAATAGCCTTAGAGAAAGTATTGTTTTAAATATGAATTACTAAAATTTTAGTTGTACAGTAACCATGAACATTATGTATAAATACCTCATGTGTATTAATAACATTTGTAAACTCATGCACACACAATATTAACAAGTGACCCAGAAACCTCCCTTTAAGTAATTAATTCAGTATCTTCTGTGATATTACTATAAACACAAGTGGTTATGCGACTTGGAAACATCTCACAACAATTTACAAGCTTGAAGACATTTAAGAATGTTAAAAGCCTAAGACTGGCATTACCCATTTAAACACACATACAAAAAACTGTGGCTCAGGGTGGTGGCTTGGCCATGGGAGGTAGGAGAGGGCCAAAGCAAAAAGAAGCTTTCAGGAAAAAAACCGATTGCAACTCATTTTGCTCCTGCAGGTTTAGGATTGAATTCAAACTGTCAGGAAAACAGAGGCTGTAATTAAACTGCAAATAAGGGAATAATAAAAGCCTACTGGACATTGAATAAATAGTAAGACTCAGCTGGTAATGATTTTGAAATTAGCACACAGAGAGGTGTTCCCACAAAGCCATCTTATATTGGTGACATTTCAAATAAGCTTCTCTAATTTATATGATTTGAAATCAAGCAATGAATATATCATAAATTGTTAGGCATTATTAATGGCCCTTATTTAATTCAGATACATTCACCCTAAACACCACATTACTAGGGCAATGCATAATTAAGCATTAGTTTTCATTCTGTCAGAACATAACATTGCTTGTATGCAAAGCAGACAATGAGATATTTAAACAGCATATAATAAAAGCGATTTGCAGCATACATTGTATGTTTAGCTACAAGAGTCAGAACAATAACAATAATCCAACAGATACAAGGTGATGCCTATTGCTACAATTCTACAGCAAGAAAGCTGCCTAACACATGACAGCTGGTATAACTCATTTAAAAACCCAAATCAAGTAACCAACCCATCAGCCTTAAAGAACCCAAAGAAGCCATGCACAGTGCCCAAAATTTAATCCCAAGCAGATCACAAACTGCACCCAGACTATTTAGCAATGTCTAGCTTCTTTTGAAACTCTCTTCCTATTTAAAGCCTTCACACTCTATGGGTTTTTTTGTAGTTAATGTTGCAGCTTTAGTATACAGCATAGATACTGTTTCCTTTTAATTCAACGTATCAGCCTGCCAGACTCACTGAAACTACGGAGGGATGAGGTGTTTTCACACCGAACAGCCTGATAAAACATCTCAATCGCAGTTACAGCTCTTGGCAGTTCCACACACAGGAAAATCCCTGCTGTTCCTGATGCTGGATGTGGCAGAAGTTGTGGAAGTGCTACTTTCTTTTCAGCTGTTTATCTCCCAGCTCTCTTTGTGTACTGAAAGCTAATTCACGGCAGTCTGATCTGCTGAGACAAACAAGCTACAACCGGTTTGTTACTCTAAAAGAAAGTCTAGTGCATTTTTCACAAATCTGTGTATTTTTAAACACTGATTTTGGAAGAAGTGGGAGCGGTAGAGACTTCTGAAGAAAGAAATTATTTGGGTCTAAAAATAGAACTGAACTTTTAACACCACCAGCAGTTCTGAGATTTTTATGTTCATGGTTTTACTTTCTGCATCACAGCTTCTCCTTTGGCAAAGAAACTTGTACAGAAATCTGAAGAGAAAAAATATCAAACCATGTTTTTGGTTCAGACACGAAGTCACTATTTTGAACAGGCCACAGTGGTGCAGTTAATTCATTTACTGGTAAGTTAATGTTTCTGAAAGGAAGCCTATGGGCTTCTAATGGATTGGTCTTAGAAAACAAGGTTGCAGAACAAGAACACAATGGAGGAAAACTCTTTGGGGAATAAAATTTGTCATTTAGGAGACTTATTTCTCATTCTTCTGGCACCTTGATACTGAACACCCTGAAGGTCTTACCAAACAGAGCATTTTCCTGATCACTAGTAGAGCACAATCACCTAAAAGATAAAGTTTCTTAATCTTATTAATTCTATTGTCCTGTAAAAAGCCATTTCCAAAGCTGTTCCTATTCTGTAAGGAGCAGAGGTTTAGGTTAAAGCACAACAGGCCGAGTGGTGACAGGCAGAGCTACAGGCAAGCATTTACATCCTCTCATTCCCAGATGTGGAACACACTGTGGTATTGCTACCAGGACAGTAAACGCCTTGTGCTTAAGTATAAACTGAAAGTGAAGTGATTATTTTACAGCTCTTTGAAATCTACCTTGAAGGGTCTGAAAAGGGTGGATGAGGTCAGCAGCTAATCAATTTTGTGGAAGACATTTGCCTGTTACAGGGCAAAACCATCATTTGATAAATGTCATTTGACAGTTTAAATTACACTCAAACCCATTCTTGCAAGAGAAATAAAAGGTTAAGCTAAGTTCTGCTGTAGAGAAATAAATCAGTTGAGCAAAATACTCCTTAATTTGTTTTAAATGAGGTTTTCATCATTTCAATCACTCAAAAAATTAATCTCTTTCCCCTACCTTCCCTCCCCCCGCCAAGGTAAAAACTATCCAGGCTTTTTTTAAAATTTTGCAATGTGTTAGATTTAGGCATAGAAGACTTCTATATAAGGACTTTCCAGTTACCTATTCAGAATCAAGGCCTGAAAGTCATGCAATTATATGACTAAGAAAAACAGATGGTAAAGCATTTAACTTTCTCTGTGTGTTTAAAATCACTGACATTTAAAGTGTATTAAAAGAAAAAGTTTGAATAACCAAGTTAAACCACCTTGCCAGGTAAAAGAATCAAAATTTTACATGTCTCAAAACATCTACCAGTAATTACCAGAGCAGCTTTGTGTTTTTACAATTCAGGTGATGCCTGTCATTAGATTTGTCTTTCAATAAAATTCAATAATTTAATATTAGAAAAGTAGACCCAACTGAACCAAAAGTATTCCAAACTGCCTTAACATATACTTTTCCTAAAGTACTAACCACGGATGTCTGAAATACTCTGCAAAAGTATTAAATATACATTGTATTTAGCAATACTGAGAAACTAACACCTCAATTACAGCTTTTACATTTTATCTAAAAGAGTAGCAAGACATTTCTGAAGTCTTATGGTTTGACTTTGAATTTAAAAAAACCAAAATTTAAAAAAAAAAAACCAACCAAGATATTTTCATGAGACTTCTTAGCTGCTGTTTTCCACAGAAAAAGGATCTGTTTGGGCAGGGAAGGTCTGTAGTACATGCATCCATGTGGAAAACAGGATATTGTGACATACTCGAGAAAGCTCTGGACAGGATATTGTGACATACCAAACACAGTCTTAAGACAGAGCAAAGAAACCATTTTCAAAGAGCATTCATGTTGTTTTTAAATTTGAGTATCAGGGTCCAAGAATCTAGACAAAGGGTTTTATAGTTTGGTTATCACTCCTGTTCAGAGTTTGGAGTGACACTGTTAAAAGAACCTATAACAAAAGCGCTTAAATTGCATTTCCTTCCCAACTATTTTGATGCAAGCTTTTTAGTCTTCCAAGTCTCTTGGACATTTACACAGTCTAGAATATCCAGAACAGCTGCTGTATATTGTCAGACAAGCATTAAGTCACATTTCTACAGATTTGGTTAAAAGTTCCCATGAATCTCCTTACACATTTCAATGAGCGCAAAAAGTAACACTTCATAATGTGCCAAAGAATCATAGGCCACAAAGAAATTAAGTAGCTCAGATATAATGTCTGCCATGATAATCACTCATTCTCCTAAAAGCTAGGTCAAATGCCATAATATGTAGAAATACATATTATGTATATATGTATATATCATTAATGCCCATTAATGAAATGGGAAATAGAAAAATAGAAATATGACTTCTTTGTAGTGGAGATTTTTGACAAGCAAAACACTTCCAGTAGCAAATGGCACACAAAAATAAAGTCCTGTATCTCAGTCCAAAAGAAAATTGTAAAGGACTGAAAGCTCTTCATTTTTGGATAAGTTGTGAGGCACATTTTACACATGAGCTCATCCTTGTTTGTAAAAGCAATTGTTAAGAAGACAGCAAGAAAGGGGGCCCAGCTCAGACAACAATTTGCAAGCTATTAGCTTGCCACAAATCTTAAAACATAAAAAATAAAAGAACATTTTATTTTTTGAGCAAAAAATATCAAGCTGTCCCCTTGAAACTTAGATTTGTGCTGGGAGGTTGATGCGCTTTGACCATCTTTCATATCAATGGGTATCCTCAATTATTGTTTGGAATACTGATTTTACAATAAACACACTTGTCACAAGGTCTGATAGCCATCTGGTTTGCATTTCTCTAATTAAAAACAAAATGCTTATCTGGCAACAGATAAACTTCTAGCTCAGTTGGCTTTGTCCTAAAAGCTTCACAAAAGAATGACTAAAAAGAGGAAGATGGTAGGAAGCACCAAGTATTTATCATAACAGAGGGAAAGGTTTAAAGAAGGTAGGTTCAATTCTATATACAAAGTAAAATTTACAACTCACAGACAGATGTTCTGCAAAGTTTCTAAATTATTTATTTATTGTGGATTTTAGAAAAATTCAACAAGGAAGAACAAAATGAAATAAATTACACTTATATTCCATGAATTGTGTTACTCAGATTTGAAGAAAAACCAAATGTGACAACCAGTCAGAAAACAAACCTAAAGGAGTATATTAAATAATGCTCATCACATAACAGCTTTTCAGATTATATTTTTCAAGTATAATATTTTTGCATAGGAAAAATTAGTTCATGAAATTAAACATAAAATTCCAGTAATCAATTGAACAAACAAGAAGATGTTGTAGCCTTACCTGAATATTATAATTGAAAAATAAAAATCAATAGGAAAAAAAAGTTACCTTTAACACAGAAAGGCAAAGTATAATGGGAAAAGAAACCTAAGGAACCATTTCGCTATAACACTCAGCTGCTTAATGAAGAAAAAGGCTTTAAGAGCATCCTGCCTAAAGAAACAGCCTGGGAAGTATGCAGAACAAATGCCATAATGCAACAATTTAAGGCATCAGATGGGCCTCATTGTTTTTCACAAGTTGTAACAAATGTAGAAAACCCAATTTTTGGCCTATTTTTGCACTGGTATAATGAAGGTAATGCATTTCACATTAGTAGTAGTAGTAGCAACAGTATTAAAGACGACCAGTTGAGAAGGGGGTTTAATGTACTGTCAAGTATTCCAGCCTCACAAATATGTTACCATTTAGAAAACCACTGAGTTGTGAAAAGATGACATTAAGGCATGATTTCTTCTGGCCATTTCTGACTATGCATTAGGTAAAGGCTGGAGCTGTGAGGCAAATTTTCTTCAAACAGCAGCAATACTATTTGCATTACATAAATCTAATTTAAAAAGTTAATTAACTGACCAAGAGTGACACTGAAGTACACGAAGGTCACAGCACCCGTATTTCCATGCTCTGTAATGTGGCGCAGCAGTTGCTCTCAGTAACATGGACCAACAGAGTAATTGGAGAGCATAAGGGACAACTTGCTCTGCCAGCACGTCTTAGCCTACAGCTAAATGAGCCTTTTTTAGCCTCAACCTAAATCTCCTATCCTTCAGGAGGAAGGAATAACTTTACATGTAAGCACCATACAAACTATTGTCCTAGAGATCCAAATGGGTAAGAACTGCATTTCCTTAGTTTAGAGAAATTCCTCCATTCACTTCTCTAATGCATCTTGGTTGTTGCATTGTAGTCTTGCATTTATAACCTTCTACTTCAAAGTAGTACAATGCCTGAGGTTGGGCTAACAGGACTGTAGTCAGTCACCTGTGAGGGTTATCAGCTTTCCAGGTTTTATCAGGCTTTGTGGTGGTGCATTGCCCTCCATCCCCTTTCCAGGCCTCGTTGAGATCGGAGAAATGCTTGTTAGGCCTCAGCCTTGAAAACAGCACCCGAGCTTAGCTCCTCTCGAGCTTAACCAGAAACACTGTCTGCTCCCAGGAATGGCTAACCAGCTCCTGTTTTCCTTATGAACAGCCTTGGAAAATTTTTCTTGTCTGAATGGCATAATGCTGCTGTTCTTACATTTTCAGAGAAAGTGCTGACCCAAACTGCAGGCAGGTTGAAACACAGTTATGACTAAAGCCCACTCTCTTGTGACCCTATAAACAGTCACCCAAAATGAGTCCTTTGAGCTCCTCTTGGCTGCAGTGGGCTGTGACCAGTGACCTCCATCTGACTGGGGCCTCTCAGAGCCAGAGAACACTCATGTTTGCCAAACCTGGAGGATCACCAAACAACGAATCCTGGACTTACACCTCCACTCCTCGAGGCTCAACCCCTTCACCCCTCAAGAGAAGCAGGGCATTCAAAGCAAGTATTTCACTGACCTCTTAGGGGAATTTTTCACAGCTGCCTTGCCTGCACTGACTCTTTATGCCTGTGTGCATACATATGGTACAGTAAATCTGAGAGGAATGCTGCTTTCTTAGATGTTTAAGTACCTTGGATATTGAAGTGAGATAGGCCCGTAATAAGCTTGTGACATACTACTTAACCTTACTTAAATACTGCTAAGTGTTGGTCTTTTGCTGAGTTGCTAAGTATAACTTCAAAGTTGTAAGTAAGGTTAAATACTATTAAGTGTTATTCCTCTGTTAAATTGCCATGGTTAAGTCATAAGTTTAAAGTGTAAGTTAAGTTAGATATAAATTAACTGCTGTTCATTTGTTAAATTATTTGGTTTAAGGTAAAGGTGTAAGTTAAGTTAAAGTACTGCTGAGTGCTGTTAAATGATGTTTCAGGCCATTGTTCCTTTTTATCCTCACTCTCACCACCCTTTTATCACATGAACATACTCATCCCTAGATGTTCATTTCTCAGTTAATTTCTGTTTTGATTGCCTGGATTTCATTTGGTTTTGTTGTTGCCTGTTTTTCTTTGCTGTGCCTTAACTGCCCTGTAAGTAGTAGAATGAATCTTGCCAATGAACTTTGTCATGCTGTCGCTTAATATTAAACCTGGCTTTTATTGATACCCTTGCCAATGATTTTTTAGGCTGTCTCAAACACTCCTTCATAACAGGATGCCGTCCAGTCAGTTTTTGCTGCACGAAGCCACTGTATGGGCTTCGTTTATGAAAATGCTCTCGGAGCCAAAGCAGAAGCTCTTGCTGGTCAACACACCACGACATCTGGAAGGAGACATGAAAGGCCTTAAGTCCCAAGGAAACCAAAGAGAGCCTAAGCTGAGTAGCAAGCTCAGAACAGACATCTGGGTTTGTTTAAAGGTTATTTTAGCACTTTCCTGTCCACCTTGTGGTCACTGACTTCTCTTATGTATAGTTTCTAAATATGCATTAACCTCTGCTTCTCACAGATATTAAAACACACATTTGTTTGCATGTACACTCTGCAGCTTCTGGCTACTGAAGCAATGAGTTTACATGTCACTCTTTCACTGCTTGGGAAAGACCAGTATCCAGGAATGGTTATAATGAGCTATGTTTTGCTACTGCTCTGGATATCCTTTTTCCTCACAGAATCTCGATTTATTTTGGTAGTAATACTACACACAAATTTTCATTGATTTGTTATCATTATGAGATATTGAATGCCCAAATAAAACAACTGCAATGTTCATCTTGCTGAGTGCCAAGTATTTAAATTACTGAATATTATTTCAAAACTCCAGAAAGCCTTCCCAGCCCTGCAGAAGAGGAGAGAAGGAGCCTCACCAGGGACTCATTATCTCCCAAGTCCTGTTACCCTCCTAGTCCAACTAAACTGGGAGTTGAGATAATTATACAACTCAAGGTAAACATCTTTATCCCTTGATATGAAATAAAATATAATTTGTTAAAAGCAACATAATGTAATTGTGCAACCTTTTCCCCTCTGTTTACAGGTCAGAATTTTGCTATCAGAGGATTTCATAAGCTTAGGGGGACAATAGGACGTGTTCAATAGGCAAGACGATATAAATCCGCTTTCTATTTATACTTTTTATAGCCCATAAATAAAAAGCAACCCCAGTGGTTTTAGTGCTGTTAATCTGAAGATACACCAGTGCTGCACTGCCTCTGAAAGGAGATCAAACAGAAATTGCCAAACTTTGTCATTCAGTAAGCAGGGCAACAAAACATTGCCTCAACTGTAAAGACAAAACCAAACTGCAATCACACAAAGTTTTCTGCAGCAGTTTCTATTATGCTAGCCATGGTAACCCTGCTCCAAATCCAGTCAAAAAGCATATCCCATGATGAGGTGGTTGGTGACAGTATTTGATCAGCTGCCACTCATTTCCTCTCCTGAGCCCAGGAATCACATTTCCAGGACTCAGAGAGCAGAACTATCCCACAGAAACTCTCATCACTGACATTTGACTCAGTTTATGTATTGCTAATGAACAGTATGAGAAAGAAAATCTAGTTTTGTGATTATTTCCATATGTGAAAATCCAAATTAAAAACACTTAATGATTTAATTTATCCCTTAAGCAAGAATTTCATAAACATATGTACGTATTTTACATATTCACATAAATAATTTAATAAAAAAAGCCCTGAGCTACCAACACACATTTTCAACCATTAATGCTAATCTGAACACAGCAAATTCTCCAATCCAAATAAAAAAAAAAAAAATTACAAAATTAAAAAGAGTTCTGTATAATGCACCCACAGTGTGCACAACACTGCATTTTTGAAGAGCTGAAGCCATGTAGTATCAAACCAAGCAATATTTTTGGGACCAGAGGCAGGAGCAGGCTGCCTGCACAGCACAAGGGCCAGTTAACTCAACTCACAGCTGCTTTGCATCACCGCACCAGCACAGGCGGTTTGGAATGTGCACCCTCATGCCCTCCACGTTCCTCTGTGCATACATACTCATTTTCTCATTTTCAGTCTAAGAAATATTTTCTGAAAAACAGTGTTAAAAAGGAAATACACTGCCCTTAGTTTTCATTCAAAGATCTGAAAAACATATTTTAATTTTTTTTTAAACAAACTCACAGTAAAAGCCACTGCCATTCTTCTCAAGAAGACTGAGACCACAAGCTGCCATATTTTGTAAAATACACTGTAAAATGAGAAGTAACAGTAACTAATGATATATACATAATGCACATGACTATGATAATGCACTAATGATAACACCACCACTGATTCTACTATTCTACTATTAATTTCTACAGCAGCAGAAAAGTGAAGGGGCTGCAGGGTCAGTTGTGATGTGTTGGCCCTCCAAGCCATAAGGAGTCAGAGGGAAATTCACATGCAGCAAGTTAAGGATCGTGCTTGTTGCTTTTAATCCATCAAGTAACATACAAAACTCAAGATGGATTGAAAGTATTACTTCAAGCTTGTAAGCTCAGACTTTTATTTCTGGTATTTGATGACCCACATATTATTCATATTATTTATGAAAGCATTTATGATTTTGTACAAATTTGAATGAAAAGGTGCAGTTAATACTGGGGCATTGTAGGAAATCTAGAACAATTCTGTCTAGTTACAAGAAAGCTTCTGAGAAGAAAACAGGCTCAATGAGCCACAGGTGTTCTCAGAAAAACATAAAAAGCCCTATGCTTCAAACAAGTCACTGTTGCTACCATCACCGCAAAAGTAACACTTCAGATCTGCCCCATTTTTTTCTGCTTTTGCACCAAAATTTTTCCCCTTCTGACATACCTAGGGAGTGTGGTCAGTTATGTGACAAACCAGAGCTAGAACCCAAACTAAACCTGCCAAAAAGGGATTTTTGTTCATTTGGATGACTTGTCAAACCTGCTCACTGCAAGGCTGCAGGGAAGTGGAGGCAGCAGAGAAATGTTTCCTTCTACAATTCCTTAGTTTAAAGTGTTTTGACTAAGAACTAAAGCCCCTCAAGCTGGGAACGCTATTTGCAGTCTGAGAGGTGATTATTACAAAGTGAAGAAAAATTCATCCAAAAAATGTACTTTAAAACTTAAATGAAATTTTAACTTCAATACCTTGTAAAACATATCATAAAATGAAAAATAACAGCAACCAGAACTAATGACTGAACCTCCTGCACATAAACCTATTTTGATATTTGATTTTGCTGCCAACATTTAAGTACTTAAACTCGAGTTTGCTGAACTGCAAAACTAGATTTGGGTAACTAACTTGTTTTTAAGGTACAGACAGAATATTTTCTTCTTTTCTGCTAACAATGTTGAACACATAGGTCATTCAGAGTTGAGAAACCAATTGTCACTCAAAAAAAGCAAAAATATACTTGTTTTCCTTTTTGGGTCCCCTAATTTAAAAATGTTATGGAAGATGAGATCTAGTTTTGAAATCTTAAAGCATGTTTGTAAGTTGAACTGATTATAGTCTTCAGATAATACTTCCTTTGTTTAAAAAAAAATATTATGATGTCAAGTATAAAACTTGGTTTGATTAACTTATTTTCCAGTTTGTGTATCCAGGATATTTAAGGCTGCTTTATTTAACTTAGGAAAAAGAATGCTGATTTAGTGCATGGCTTTGCAATTTATCAGATGTAGCTTGACAAAGGGGATTTAAAAAAGTATCTCTCTTAAAAAACAAGCTCTTGTCTGCCAGCCCACTGTCAAGAATCTTCAGAGGAGACTGGCATGCAGTAGACCCTCCTACTTAGATAGTACTGATTTCATTAAATACAGATACAAAACAATTAAAATCAGTTACATATCAATACCAATCAGTTGCTTAGCAATTTAAGCTTCATTTAAACTTCTGCTTTAGAATTCACTACAGTCTGCTGCCTCAGAGTCACTTCAGCGGAGCCTTGTTTGACATGGTTTTAGTCTCATGCTACCTTTTAGAACCTGAATGGATTTCTCTAATGCTCAAGAAAACAATCTCACCTACTCACAGCAAGAAAACATATATTTTCTAAGCAGTCATCAAGAAAACAGAATAATCCTCAATTCTTGGCTAAGAACTGCCATGCCTAAGCGTCAACAAGAATGAAAAAGTATACATCATTTAGAAGAAAAACATTAGGGTATTTTTGTCTTAAAATATTGTCCTTCTTTAATTCAAGTCTGTATGACACGTCTTTCATATTTATACATCTTTCCCAGGTAAATTTACTGTCTCAAAATAAAAGAAGCTTTGTAAAAACTTTCCATCTTTTAAAATGCAAGATAAACATATCCTTTTTTGGACATCCAGATATTAGGAAAAAACCCATTTACTCCAATGATTCTGAAGCTCTACAAGCCTAGCGTTAAGTTTTTCTTTTTAAAGTTAGTAGCAACAAATAGTGACACACTATCTCTGCCTAGGCTTACAGAAGCAGTTATGTCAATAAACTCTTTATCAGCCAACAAACTTCATATCACAAACTCTAAAACTTGAATTCAAACAGCAGCAAAACCAAAAACTCTGCTGAACTTCTGGTTAGGAAGATTATCTTAGCAATTCTCATCTCTGTTTCCCTTAGACTGAAGACATCTTTGCAGGCTTCAAACACAGAAAAGCTGCCAGCACTGTACAGACAACTTCCTGTCTTCAGGATCCCTGTACTGTCTCCCTCCCACCTCTACTGTCTAGTAGTAGATAAGCCCAAAAGGCAAGACAGATCAAGTAAAGCCAATTTTCAGAGCTGCATTTGACACAACATGAGGACTATGTTGTTTTTATAGGGTCATAATCCAGCAGGGGGAGGAAAAAACCACTAGGGAAAAATAAATTAAAAAAAAAGAAGAGGTAAAAAAAAAATTGTTTCAGTCCACAACATGTAAATTAAATGGGATAAAAATGACTCATACAGCCCTGGCTAATTCAAGTGACCTCAAATACTAACACAGATACCATTAAAGAAAACACTAAATAAATACACATTCTAAAATAACATACCCTCTATCTGCCAGTGCTAAGAATAGCCTTGTACTAATCTCTTAAAATACTGAATGATGGATAAACAGATGCTGTCATACTGTGATCTCTCTAACCACAGCAGTAGTTGTGCTTACCAGACCCAGGACTGAAATATCTAAAAGCAAGCACAAGTATTTTGTGCATGTCTGCCCACTGCCTAAGAGGAAAGGTTCTCCATTTCCTCCACCACAAGGGCTCCTGGGTATCAGCTGCAGTGCAAATGGACTCTAGAGGAACCAATGCATAGGTATTCACAAACAATCAAGGTAATTTATCTTTCTGAAGAAGCAGATATTTTGTTTCTCAGTGTCTCCTTAATGAAATAAAACACATCAAAGAATACAACTAGCTCAGATGAATCCCACAAGGAAAGCAGCCCAATTTCCTCAACAGTAAGGTGGAACAACCAGGAAAGCATTTGAGTTACTTCTTTTGAAGTGTTAGTACACATGCAACATATATACAGAACACTGTATTCTCGTATTTCAATTTGGTTTACTATCTGGAAATTAGTTTCATTCAGCTTGTAATGCAGCTACAGCTAGCTCTACACTTGACAATGTCACTAGTAAACCACAAACTAGGCCTAATTTATGCCAGCAAAAAATTGCACCTCTGCCAGCACAGCTTACTTCATATCATGTGAGCTGGAGACATTGGTACAAGCTGTTTCAGAAAGAGTGCAGTTTCACAAGCAAACTGAAACCACAAAACAGCTCTTGTCCATCAACTATGCTTGACAGAAACCAATTCCCTTTGAAAGGATGCCTGGTACACCTGGGTCTTTTGCACCCAACCTTGCCCAGATTTTTGGGTGCCCACATTAGAGTACTTCTTTCCTGGTTTTCAGAAGAGTGCAACAGGAACAGCTCCCACTGACTCATGTTCAATTTTGGAAAGTCTGTGCTTCCAAGAGCTAGCTAGACAACATTTCTAACTGGGGTTTGAACATGAAAAATTAATTTCTGCAGATAAGGTTTAAAGTCAGAGCTTTCAAATGGAGATAGCATTAATTGTTGTTGAGATGTCTCTAAATTATAGTCAAAATAAAAATCCATTATGGACATAAGTTAGCACTAAATGATGAGTTTACTACTGGCTATGGGTACCATACAAGCCATGTTTTTTCTGTAAAATATACAGCTTTTACAGCCTAAAATTAATAAAAGGCCAGTGACAAAACAGGAACAACTTTAACTTTAGAAAGTATGAATTTTGCAATTTAAAGAATCTCCTGATAGAGCAAATGCTAGAGAGAGTGTGATATAAAAACAACTATTGTCCAATTTCCTTTTCAGAAGTGTTAACTCAAACTGTCACTAGCTATATGTTTTCTTTGTTTTTGAAAAAAACAGGGACAATTTTTAAAACCAGTATCATGGCAATAACCTCTTTTTCAGCTTCTGACACCATCTCACACACACGATGACATTTCAGCTCTATTTTAAATGAGTACCCCGGAAGAAGCAAAACACCCAGAGGATTTAAGGCTCCACTCATAGATAAGAAATGCATTTGCAGTAAAATTATTGAAATGCTTATGTGGGTTCTTAATAGCATCTACCCTATCTTTATACAATTAGTAATTTAAGTATTTTTTATAGTAGATTCTTTGAGAAGAGGGTGCTTAAAGAAAAGATGTTCCTGGGGTCACAAATTACTGCAAATTTATTGTTTTATAGAACCTAGGGGAAAATAAAAATATAATTTATCCTTAAAGCATTCACTTCATCGTTAACACTTTAGAAGTATACAGAAAGCATTTCGTGCAATAAAGAGGAAAATAATATTCAAAACATTAAGTAGATGGTTTCAACAAAGAAATTTATGCAACTTGCTTTTTACCTTAAGAATTACAGATTGCCTTCTTTCCTTGTGCTACTAATGTATTTGAATAACAGGCTGAATTTGGCCACAAAGTGCTCTTTAACAGTATGCTTAAGTGCTCTGTTTACATTAATGCCTTTGGGCAAGCAGTAAAGCCAAAAGCAAATCTGGCCTTCACCACCTGAGGTGTAGGCACCTCCAAAGCAGTTTACTTGAGTGCTTTTACTAAAAAAAAAATAAATCCAAGCAAACATCCCACTCCCAAACAACCCCAGGACACTTAACTAGCATCTACTTACCTGACAGATTGGTTGCTGTTTCAGTTGCTAGGACACACTTTCCATTCACGAGTGTAAAACAAATCCAAGATCCAGCCTGCCAGAGCCTGTTACCAGCTCACAGCTACATGGTGACCAAGAGCACCTCAAGTGTTCATACCAAGCTGTTAACAGCCTCTTACCCTCCTCTCTTCTTCATCCCATCCAACCAAAATCATCCTTTAACAACTCCTGATGTACAGGAAATACAGCAAACACCTACATAATTTCTCATTTGCTTCACTTTCCTTCCTCTAGCCTCCTTCAACAAACTTTGGTCTTCCCCAGATAAAAATCACACTGAAGGATTTTACTGTTGGCTACTTAGAGATTCAATGCATTTGTTTAAGTTATAAGTAATTAATTCTGCAACTATTAATTAAGCAGAATTCAACTGACAATGGAAATAAGAAGAGATGAAGCACAGGGCCCAGCTGCACTTGCCAACTGATCATGATGGAGACCTAGGCAACAATAAACTGGGTCCAGAATGATCTTGCCATGGTCCAATGTTTAAAACAGGCCATAGGCTGTAATGACCTCAGTGCAGAGAAAGAGGTGCTTTAATTCCCAGTGGAGCCAGGGGTGACCAGTTCAGGTCTAGACATCTGCTACTGCAGAGGCATGGAGGATTGATTTCATTTATCATTCCTTTGCTGCTCTGCTATTCAAGTTCTTGCAAAGCGCCTACTTAGTAGCAACTATTATGCAGCATGAAAAGCTTTTGAAGACCAAAGGTAAAGACTGTTGAGTCTCACGAAAATACCTTATACCTCACAGAGAATATAAATACACACAAGCAGATATCCAAGGGGACATGCAAAGGTGCTAGGAGAAAAAACCCAAATCAGACACTCAAAAAGCAAGTGGCCTTGTGAGCAGCTGCCCTTTATGCAAGAACTAGACCTCTGCAAGTGCTCTGAACTAACAGTAATGCTCACCGCAGGCTGAAGATGGGGAAGAGAAGGAAGGAAGAAAAAAAATACATAGCCTTAGTTTTGATTTCTTAAACTTAATTTGATGAGACTTTATAAATAAGCATGTGTCTTGTCAACACATTTCAGCATGAAATATGCAGTGCTATTGACAGGAAATATTCTCCTGGCTCCAAGTCTGAATTATCAGTCATTTACACTATAACTAGTTTGAGATCTGTTCTCTTTTTTAAAAAGTATATTATGTTTCCTGAATATTTTCCTGATGCTTTTAAGTTTCATTTCGCAATTAGCCACAGATTATTAACTGTTTTTTAATAAAAGTACAGGTAGGGAAAAGGAAAAAAAAAAAAAGAAGTCATTAGCTAAAATAATCCTAGACTAAAAAGAGCAACTAGCAAACACATTTATACCACCAAAAATTATCTACTCCTTTCTGAATTCTTAACCGTGCCAGACTTTCCACCTCATGTGGAGCGAGTCTAATTTTTTGATTAGTATATAACCATTAGCATATGTAATTTCCATGTGGAATCTATTTCATGCACTAATTTGCCCATACTTTCAACTGTAGAAAGACTCCTAAACACTTTAAATATAAAATCCTGGGTGCACTATTTAACCTATAATCACATCAACTTTGACTTTATGAGATTTTTACTTAGGAAATCTAAGTCACTAAAAAGCAAGAGTGCTGAACTTGAAGGACAAACTATGCTCCTCTTATCAGCCGTTGCTCAAATTAAAATATTAAGTTATAGCCAAAGCATTGAGAAATGGTTAATGGACTGGAGTTGCTTAACTATACTTTAGTAAAGAGCTGACAGGCCTTAGGTCAACTCTTACAAAAAGCAACACACCTTTATCCCAAGAGCACAGATGCAAAAACCTGCTGCCACATTGGTGGGGAGCCATTTAGCAATGCGGTGACGTACAGCACCCTGGAAAGCCGGCTTGTGCTAAAAATATCTGCTTTTTCTTTTTCTGGAAAAGTCAAAACACGCTCAA